AGGGAGGGAGGGAGGGAGGGAGGGAGGGAGGGAGGAAGAAAGGAAGGAAGGAAGGAAATGTTCTGAACACGAAACAGAGATGGGCAAAATCTTTCAAAGAGTGGTTTATACAGCATCCCACAGCCCATGTAAACTGTAAAGGAGGACTTACGCTAGTCCACGGATGGAGGTTAGAAGCCCATGGACATAATCTTATTCCAAACTGCCAGGATAACCATCCAAGACCACAAGGCCTTGAAGAAGACCCCTTCCTTTCTCCAAACCTACTCCCATCTCCAGCAAGAATAGCACTGGCAAATGTTCCACGTGGAGCATCTCCTAATCCAGGTGTCTTTGCCACCTGCCCATTTCCCAAAGGAAGGAAGATGCAGGTGACAATGTTCTCTGAAAGGTGTAACTTCAGATTCCCATCACTGCAGCCTCACAGCAAATCCCTGCTAATGCTTGGACCACAGTACAGTCCTTGATCTGGATCTGCAAGATAACAGATCCAAAGTCCTACACCATTATGTTGAGGGCCTCTGTGCAGATCTTTTTCTGCACTCAATTATCTCTCCATCATTCTCTCCATTGTGCACAGCATGGCATTTACATTAACAAGCTTAACATTTTACCCTTGAATGCACTGGAGGGGAGGTTCAAAAACATTCCATACTTGGAAGGCCTTTATCCATGTTCAGAAGAGAAATGAGAAAATCTTATGTGTCTTGTTCTGGTGCCCCTATGTAACATACTTGATATACCTCTCTGAGTTAATAATCCCCCTCGTTATCCAAAATGTGTGGGTCGGCTTGAAATTAAGGCAGTGAGCTTTTACTAACAGATTGATCCATCAACATTTCTGTTAAAGTTGCTATTCCTATTAAACTAAAATTGCGGGTAGAAGTTGCTGGTAGAACTAGGCTAAGCCCTGAATGATCTGGGTTAATTATGCCTTGTGTAGAAGATGACTAATATTTAATGTGGTCATAACTTCTGCCCTTCTAATATGCAACCCCTAATACAGTACATATGAGAAGTACTGAGGAGTGAATATGCCAATTACTCATACACACTCCTCCCAATTTCTTCCCTCATACCTACAGCTTTCTAAATTTCTAAGCACATGATTATCAGTGCAAAACCACTTGGTATTCAATCAGGGAGTTGTGAAGGGAAGTCAGTCTGCAACAGATGGGCAGGATCGCAGCTCACCATTTCTCTGCTCTAAACAATCCTTCCTCAAAGCGTATTTTTTTATTTTTTAAAAAATAACAAACGGTACTCTGTGCTACCCATTTCTGAGAACCACGTCATTAATCTGTAGTAGACAAATACATCAAATTCAGTTCTCAAGCAACAATGTTTTTAGAACCAGTTTCCCAATGTGGTACACCTGCAGGTTAAAAGTTAAATACTTATTGTCCATCGAGGTGGGGTTTTTTTTAGATTTTTTAATCCACCTTTATTATTTTGTTATAAATAACTCAAGGTGGTGACATACTTAATACTCCTTCCTCCTCCCATTTTCCCCACAACAAGCCTGTGAAATGGGTTGGGCTGAAAGAGAGTGACTGGCCCAAAGTCACCCAGCTGGCTTTCATGTCTCAAGCGGCACTAGAACTCAAAGTCTCCTGGTTTCTAGCCTGGAGTCTTCACCACTAGACCAAACTGGCTCTCTTTAGGTTTATATTAAAACTGATTTAACTTTGTTTTATGAGATTTTTTAAATGGCTGCTGGAGTGAGGGCGTTGTCTATTTGCCAACTAATTACTAGAGTGGATGGACTGATATGAGAGCTGGCGCTGGCAAGGAAAAAGCAAGAGCCCTGGCATCAGAGAGGCCTCAATGGAATGCAGGTGCCATCAACAGTCCAGTCCGAGAAAGAGCCTGCAAGCAAACCATTTCAGTGGAAGGGACAGAGGAAGAAACTCAGGATGTGAACTCTTGGACTCAGATATCTATCAACAGCTGGATACTTAGACCTTATTGAAGCTGATCATAGTTGTTCCTACAGGTCCTTCGTATCTTCAATAAAAACTACTGGTCTATCCCTCCCTGCCCTTGACTTCCCTGTGACACCTCCTGACTGAATGGTTTGAGTTTCGAGAGAGAGATTTATTGCTGGCTGGAACCCTGACAGCTGGCCGCCAAGGCTAATTTTTCACAGAAGTGGGAGTTGGCCATTTTCCCACCCCTTCTAATCTCCCCAAATGCTCACTGCAGAGAGCACAGAAAGAATTCCAATATCTATGGGAGTTATATGGGGGGTGGGGGAATGACAGATATGTATCAATCTTACTTATGCTAGAGATTGGCACTCTGCTTTGCAATATGCCCACTTCTCCTCTCAGGTGGGGGCCTAGGTCTGTTGGGGGTCAAAAGAGGGGTCTGAAGGTTCACTGCTTCCTGTTGGCATTATACATCTAGTCCAGCTCCATGCCTAGCCTCACTTTCGGATATATCAATATGTAGCTTTTAAAAGGGGCTTCCTAGCAGAGAACAGCCAGTCCTCTGAACAAACCTGGAGGGAATCTTAAACTTAAATACAGCCACAGATCCACATAAATTTCCAGCCCTGGAGTTCAAGACATAAATGTTCCAAGGGGAGGTTTCATTTTTTTTTTTTTTTTTAAAAACCCAGTAACATAACTAGCCTTCTGTACGGATGGAGTCGTTGCACTAACAGAGGATAAGCTGAGAAAAACTGTCTTCCTGGGTCTGATTTACTATCCTGTTGTGAAATCAATTCGGGCCAAGTTATACGCATGTCAGACTCTGCCTAACTCCCGTGCTGTATTTAATCCAATTCCTGAGCTTTAAACAAAAGAGGAGAGGAAGAGGAAGTAAACAGTAAAGCTGCCTGGCACCATACAAGTTTTGGGGGTTGGCAGACCTGCCCCCTTTGGAAGAGTGATGTTTGTTTTCAGTCCTGGAATCGACAACCTTATTTGGCTGTTGTTTTCTCTCTTATTCTTGCTCATCCCAGCAATGAAGAAAACCTAGCAAGAGGAACTAGAGAAAAAGCAGAATGTCCACTTAGAACGTGCATCTCACAGCCTGCTTCCGGGTGACTGCGTTATGTGTAAGGGAAGGGTCTGTTCCAAGTACAGTACGGCGGTCTTGGATCAACACCGCCGGCTGATTTCTGGCAGGCCACACAACTTCGACTAATACCTTAGAGAAGAGACGGGAGATTCAAAAGATTTCAATAGGCTTAAGCAGAAGAGTGAAAGGAAATGTACAGGGTGGAATTTAACTGCAGGAATGTCAAGTTCAACACCTGGATGGGAAAAATGAAAGGCAAAAGTATAGGAAGGGGGAGGACTAGCTTGGCCGTAATACATGTGAATGGAGACCCAGGTATTTTAACAGATCACAAGTTGAACCAGAGCCAACTGTCAGCCTTATGAGGTAGACCAGACAGGAAATACGACCAGATGAGCTAATTCTACTTTATTGTAAGGTTACATTAACAGAATCTTGCAAGTCTGAAAGTACTTTTCTCCCCTCATCCCCTTTACAGCCCAAAAACAAGGGAAAGTCTCTTCTGAGCCTCTTGCCTGGCCCATATTCTTGCTGTGGGCTAAGCTGCCTTTTATCTGACTGTTCCCCTGGTTGCGTCTCATTGCCCTGTCTCTCAAGATCATTCTCACGTACCATTACACCAACAGGATAGTGCATTAACAGGAACAGAGAGTCTAGGTCACAGGGAGTTAATTGTTCTGCTCTCCTCTGCCTGGATTTGACTCCATTTGGATATTTTCAGCACCACAGTTCAAAAAGAACAATGACAAACCAGGGCAAGTTCAGAAGAGAGCTACCAAGATGGCGATGGGTCTGGCAACCAAGCCCTACGAAGAACAATT